ACGTTGGATCTTCTCTGTTGCTCTCTCTGTTGGACGCTTCCGGATCACTCTCTCTCTCTCGTTGCTCTCTTCGTGACAGTTTTTGGGGGACCTGGAAAAAGTTAGGGAAAGAGAGAAATTTAATTAATTGTGGGATTTAGTTATTGAATTGGTTTAAAGATCGATGGGAAAAGGTTTTTATTAACATTTTTAGTTTTTAACAGGAATGGAATGGAATGTAATTAAAACATGTAAACAATTTTGTTGATATTTTAGACTGCAATTGTAATTTAAGGCCTATCAATTTACAAAACCATGAATCATAGATTTCTTAGAATGTTTATAAAAGTAATGCTGCTCATAAATACTTTTGTTTAAACACTTCAAGTAAACCTTATCTATATTTATCGGTTCTTCTTTCACAAAAACTCATAAAAAAAAAGCTCTGTTTTATCCACAAAATTCAAGCCTAGCTGTTTTTTGGCTCAGTGCATCTAGTGAACTGCTTAAGGCGAACTTTGACATTTTTGAACGGGAAAAACCAGGGGAGGTGGCGGCGCGGTGGACTTCCCCGCACTTTTGGCAACCGATTTATTTGCAACTTGGCAGCACTTGCTTGCATGCTGATAAAGAGATTCATTCCCCGACCTCGCTCGCCACTTTTTATCGCCTTCGCGCTGGCCGTTGTGCACTTGTGCCCTTATATTATACTTTTATTTTGACCACCGGCTTCTGTTGCGATTTCGATTTCGGTTTCCGTTTCGGTTACGCTTTATGTTCTGTTTTCTGTGTTTTTTATTTCGCTCTTTGTGCGCCCGTTCTTGCTTTCATGTCACGTCACTTTTTTCTCTCCGCTGGATGACGAAGGCGTTTCGCCAAAACCCCAAACGGAGCCACCGAAACAAACATTAATGGGCGTATTGTGGTTTTCGGGGGAGCTTACTTTGCTTTTTTTCACTCGGAGCACCCAACAGCAGCAGCGGCAGCAGCAGGGGAAAATCGTTGGCGTTCCGGAATTCCTGAGGCAGAGAGGAGATCGGAGTTTTTGCGGAGCGAGCGCTTGGCTTGGGCTTCGCCTCCGGGGTGTTGGCTGGCGGAATGTGTGGATCGCGGGACTGAACTTTATGTAACTCCACCTGGCTGGCGCTTCGCCTCGCTGTTCGCCGCTGATTTGTTGTTAACTATTGCCGAACGCAGAGCAATTCACGAAAATGAAAATTTCTATTGATTTTTCTTCTCTCTCGCTGCCTGTGTGTGGAGCCATCTAGCGGACGCGAGTGTAGCGAATAGTGTGGTCGAAGTGTCGGCGATGCAGGAATACCGCGAAAACCAGGGGTTTTTCGCCTGGCGGCGTCAGGGCTGGGTAAGATTTAAAGGTGGGATGGATGACTTAGTGACGTCACAATTCTTGTAAAATGCTTTGTTGTCGTTTTGTTTATGTTTGCGTGTTAATTTTATAGGTTTATAAATCATAGTAGGCTGTAAAAATATTAAAGGTAATTCAATGAAAAATGTATATTAAAAAGCATGTATATATATATATTTTTATTAAATAATTTTATTAAATACCTTTTACTCTACCATATACTTGTTTGATACTTCATGAAAAACTCGTCAAATTATATTTTAAAAATTAATTATTATTAAAGTAAGCATTCTAGCTTCTTAGTTGCTTATTAAATGTACATTTTTATATTAAATCCATGATAACCACGCTTTGTGACGTCATTGGTCCCGCTCACAAAATGCCGCTGTGCGCCACCTCGCTCACGCGACACCCTGCGGTTACTCCGCCATTTTTTTGCGCGTTTCAGAAACGCGTTTTTATTTGTGGAAAAAAATATGTAAAATGCTCTTGCGGCAAGCAGCGAACTGGCAAATTTAGCAACGCAGGATAAACCCACCGACTATCCGCGACCAGGAGCAGCTCCAGTTTCCAGCGAGGGCGAGCGGGACAGTGCCAGCGAGAGAGCGTGCCTGATGCAGACGCATGTGTTACGCAGCAGCAGAGTTTAATTATCGCACCGCAAAAACATAATTGGCATTGAAAGACTGGGGATTCGCGAGTGAGAGTGAGAGCGAGCGAGGAGGAGCCAACCGCCGGCAGCCATGAGTTTTTCCAGCGACGAGGTGAACTTCCTGGTTTACCGATACCTGCAGGAGTCGGGTGCGTACAGACAGAATGACACACCACACACGGAGCCCGCCTTATTAATGGTTGCTTTTCGCTTTTCCAGGCTTTCTGCACTCGGCCTATGTGTTCGGCATCGAGTCGCACATCTCGCAGAGCAATATCAATGGTGCGCTTGTGCCGCCCGCCGCCCTGCTTACCATCCTGCAGAAGGGCCTTCTGTACACGGAAGTGGAGTGGAGTGTGGGTGAGGATGGTGAGGTGGCGCGACCCATCGAGGGACTCTCTTTGATAGACGCCGTCATGCCGGAGGTGAAACCGCCGAAACCCATTGTCAAAACGGAGCCGGGCAAACTGGGGGCGGTGGACTCCTCGGCCCCCGCCGGTGCCAACAACAATAACAGCAACGCCAAGCCAGAGATCAAAATTGAGCCTGGAACTGGGGCAGCGGGCGCTGGAGCTGGTAACAAGACCGGTGCTGGCAGCACCACTGGCACCAGCACCCCCACAGATCAAAACGCCAGTGAGGTGGACTCCAGTGGGAACACGGCGAACAGCACGGGAGCCACATCATACACTGGCAACAATGGAGCAGGAGGCAATCAAGCGACACCCGCAGGAGCCAATAACACGAGTACACCGGCTTCTGGAGCGGATGCGGCGGCCACAGCGGCAGCTCAAAAGAAAGCCCAGAACTCCAATGAGGCGGGAAGCTCCTCCGGTGGCAGTGCGGGCAACGCGAATGCCACCAGCACTGATGACGCGGCCTCTTCCACATCGACAAACGGCAATAGCAGCACCTCCAGCAGCGTAGAGCAACCCTCGAGTGGGGTGACACCCACCGGCGGCGCTGTCTCCACCTCCAATCCGGATTCTGCAGCTGCGGGCGGAGCATCGGCGACGGCTGGAGCCAAGGCGCCCAGCGGAGCGGTTACGATTCGAGTGGGAGCCCAAGGAAACAACGTCCAAGCGGGTTCAACGACTGCACAGAACTCTGCGCCCAGTGGAACTATCTCTTCGTCAACGGGTGGTGGTGGTGGCGGCGGCAACGCTGGAGCACCGGCAGCCCTTGTGCCCATGGAAATTGACGAGAGCATCGAGATACCCGAGTCCAAGGCCCGTGTGCTGCGAGGCCACGAGAGCGAGGTGTTTATCTGCGCCTGGAATCCGAGCAGGGATCTCCTGGCCAGTGGCTCGGGAGACAGCACTGCCAGAATATGGGACATGTCGGATGCCAATACCAATTCCAATCAGCTTGTGCTTAGGCACTGCATCCAGAAAGGCGGCGCCGAGGTTCCCAGCAACAAGGACGTCACTTCTCTGGACTGGAACTGCGATGGCTCTCTGCTAGCGACCGGCAGCTATGATGGCTACGCTCGGATTTGGAAAACGGACGGACGACTGGCCTCCACTTTGGGCCAGCATAAGGGTCCGATCTTTGCGCTGAAGTGGAACAAATGCGGCAATTACATCCTCTCCGCGGGCGTGGACAAGACGACGATCATCTGGGACGCATCCACGGGCCAGTGCACGCAGCAGTTTGCCTTCCACAGTGCCCCGGCCCTGGACGTTGACTGGCAGACGAATCAGGCGTTCGCCTCTTGCAGTACCGACCAGCGGATCCACGTCTGCCGGCTGGGAGTGAATGAGCCCATCAAGACCTTCAAGGGACACACGAACGAGGTGAATGCGATCAAGTGGTGTCCGCAGGGTCAGTTGCTGGCGTCCTGCTCCGACGACATGACTTTGAAGATCTGGAGCATGAACAGGGATCGCTGCTGTCACGACCTGCAGGCGCACTCCAAGGAGATATACACGATAAAGTGGTCACCCACGGGGCCCGGCACCAATAATCCCAACACGAACCTGATCCTCGCCTCGGCGTCTTTCGACTCCACGGTGCGGCTGTGGGACGTGGAAAGAGGCAGCTGTATCCACACGCTGACCAAGCACACGGAGCCGGTCTACTCGGTGGCCTTCAGTCCGGATGGCAAGCACTTGGCCTCCGGCAGCTTTGACAAATGCGTGCACATCTGGAGCACGCAGACGGGACAGCTGGTGCACAGCTACAAGGGCACCGGTGGCATCTTCGAGGTCTGCTGGAACTCCAAGGGAACCAAGGTGGGAGCCAGTGCCTCCGATGGCAGTGTTTTCGTCCTGGATCTGCGAAAGTTTTGATCGCCAGCGGAGCAGCTGGGCTTTGTCTATTGAGAAAACGCTTCTATGGGGTCCGGAGGAACACCGGGCTGTATGTAACTTCTTTCTAAGCTATCCCGCCCTTTGCAATCTGTATTTGTATCTGCTTTAAGTTCTAATTAGCTTTTTAAGGTCATATACTAGCGCTTTTCCCCCCCTATACTGTCTTTTTCGTACGCTTAGTCTTGAGTCACACAAAAAACAGAAAAAGAACGAAATGCCCCTAGGATTTTCGGGGGCTCCAACTTGGTTGGTGTTCACCTTCGCACTTCTTTTTAAACTTAGTTGTAAGCTCTATGTTTCTAAGGATATGTCCCCCCTTTTTTATACAGAAATCGTTTAGTATAACTTTATGCATTTTGTTATTGTGTCGAGTCGATCGAGATGATGCCAACTACCTTAAATCCCCCCTATCCCCCTTATATATTGCCCCGTCTTTACCCGTAGGCCGGAGGGATACCAATTCAGATCCGATCGGACCGATTCACGCATACATTCAGAACAGTGTAACTGCATCCCACGTAGCCTGTAAACGAACGTAAGCCTAAGAATGATTAAGAACACGAGATTGGCGAAAAACACACACGAGAACAACAGCAAAATCCATTAAAGCTAAAAATTAATTAAAGTCTTTTATTTTGTGTTGAGAATGGGATTAAGTTTAAGCTTTTCAAAAATTAATAATGATAAAGGGATCAAGATTTTTAAGGTGGAGTTCTTCTCAAACCCTGGCACAATGTATAAGTGTTGAGGCTCCATTCTAGCGCTCGTCTTCTTTTTGATCATGGGTCTGCTTATGTTCCTTAAGATCTCTTTTTAGTCGAAAAGATTTTTCGCAATCTGTGCACTTGTAAGGCAAATCTCCGTTGTGTTTCGAATAGATGTGATCCTGAAGACTTCGATTGCGTGCAAAAGCCAGCTGGCAATGGGAACATTTGTAAGGTCGTTTTTTTAGTGTTTTGTGGGTGTCAAGGTGTGACTTTGACTGCAGATATTTGTTCGATTTGTAGGTCTTCAGACAGATGGAACATGTGTAAGAACGTTCTGCTTTGTGGATCGAAATATGTTGCTGAAGATTGCCATTTAGTGCAAAAGATTTCTCGCAGTGAGGACACTTGAAGGGCCGTTCTCCTGTGTGGATTCGAAGGTGTGACTGAAGATTGCATTTGTGGGAAAATGACTTTTTGCAATAGGAACAAATGTGTAAAGTTTTCGCCGATTTCTCCTGATCTTCTGCATTTTCTTTGAACTCCTCATCGACTTCAAATTCGGTAAATTGGAGGCGAACGTCCTCGAATATGTCTTCTTCAACTGGCTCTTTCTTAATTTGTAGCATTCCGATTTTGGAGTTAGATATATCCCGCATTTCTTCCTCCTGTATGTCGTCATCTTTCTTGATCATCTGGCAGAAAACGCTGTGGTTTGTCTCGTAAAGTTGTTTTAGCTCAAAAGCATTAGTTGCATCCCGCTTGCAAGGAGCGCATATGGTTTTGGAAAAAGGATCCCCTTTAGAAATTCGATGTCCGGTACACAGGGAAATCATATCCGCTATGGAAATCCGTATTTCTGGTCTGGCGATGCCATCGAATATATTGACCATGTCCTTTGAGGTTTCCCGACAAACTCGACAAATGTTGCTGAAAATTAAACATAGAATGATTTGTTCGTGAGGATATCAAGTATTTCCGCTTACACGTCCATCTTTCCAGCCGACAAAATCAAGCTTTGGTAAAAGTATAATTGTTTTAAATTAATTTTTTATTTTAAGAATATTGTGTCAAAGTTTTACATCGATCAAAGCAAAATATACGATAACTCTAAATCTACTCGACCAATCGGGTTGAAATTTCTCACATAATTCCATTCATGATAGAAAACCTTAATCTTAATTCAATCTCTATAGAACTCAAAAATCCATGACATTACCCAGATGTCGTTGCTTGAAGAAGCGGCTCTCCTCGCGTATAACCTCTCCCGACTTGGTGGTGCCCTTAAAGAACTTGGTGAGCTTTGTGCCAGCGTACTTGGGCTTCTCGGTGTCCGGCTCATCGAACTCCATGTCGTATGCCTTGTCTGCCAAAGCATTCTCCGCCGTGGACCAACTGAAGCGTACCAGGCGTGGAAATCCAAAGACCAGATCGATATGCTCCGCCAGGAAACGCTTTGTGACCGGATCTCCCGGATAACCGCTGCCAAAGGCATTGTCCTTGATCACCAGACCCTCGGGGAACTTCCACACTTTGAGGGCATGATCGCGGGTGACCTTGGCGCAGATACTAGCCGCCGAGACAATGGGATAGGTGGAATCGGCTTTTTTGGCCACTGTAATCTTAAAGTTGGGAAAGCGCTTGAGCAGCTTCTCCTGGTATTTCTCCGGTGGACCCACTGTATCCACATAGACCTCGGCTATATTGACGCCCGCGTCGATGGCCTGTTGGATGAGGCCCATGGCCGAATCCATGGAAACCTCGTTCAGGGAGCACTTGGACCGGCGGTACATGCTGGTGCTGATGGTATTTGGGGATATAATCTCCACGGCCCAGCCGATGCAGCTGGTGGCATACTCCTTGGTATTGATGTCGTTGAATATGACATCGCGCTTCTCCTCGGTCAGTTGTTTGGAGTCGGCGCAGCCCAGATCTTCGAGAGCCTTCTTGCTGTCCAGCGGGCAGTAGGAGATTCCGTATACCATGGGGCCGAGGACAGGACCACGGCCAGCCTCATCGACGCCCAGCATGCAGGGTTTATCCTTGCAGACATCTGGGACATCGCTCAGGTAAACAGTATTCCGGCTGTTCTCCTTGCTGGCTATGAATGGCCCTAAGGACTTTAGGGAGGTGATTTTTGTGGTATCCTTGAAGTCCTCGTCCTCATCCTCTTTTATTTCTTCATCTATAGTTTGGTTTTCTTTCTTAATTTCTATATCTTCACGATCCGACATCTTTGCGCGCGTTTTATTGTTTACTTTGGAAGCAAAGTGCGGTCACTCTAATTAAAACATATCGATATTATCGACATCGATAACTGTTTTATTAAAAACAAAATTAGTAATTTAGTATATAGATTTAGTAGTTTTTTAGTTAAAGAGATAGTATTCTGAGCGACCTTGTGGTCATGGAGATCCTCGAGGCTCGTGTGTTCCGAGGCCATGAATGCGATGTGTTTGCCTGCACCTGGAATCCTAGCCGGGATCTCTTGGCCAGTGGCTCAGGAGACAGCACTGTTTAAGAATAAACCCTATTGATCCAAAGCATTTACAGCTTCTAGAATCCAATCTTTGAGGTAAAACACGCTGGAGGAGATCGAAGGACCATCGCAATAATCACTACTGGCTGCGACAACACCCGCCAGTTCTAGGTCAACGACCAAGGGTCCGCCAGAGTCGCCGTCGCATATCCCGGGCTTGGCGCAAATGCTACTCTTTGCCACAGGATCCTCGTAGTAATTCTCACAGTACTCCAGGGACAACACTTCGAGACTTATGCCCTGCAAATATTCAGGAACTATGAAGGACATGTCCGTGTGGAAACCGGCAACCCCCCAGCCAGTGGCTGTGGCAATGCTTCCAGCGGCAGGCACCTTCTTGACCAAGGGGATGGGTTGCACCGAGTCGCTCATCATGAGAGGTTTTTCCAATCGGAGCAGGGCAATATCATTGGGAGGCGATCCATTTTCAAACTTTGGATGAGACATTTTCGCTTGGACTTTAAAAACTGTTCCGTTGGATCTGGCTGTGGATCCGACACCAACCGACAAATGATCGATGCGATATTCTGTACCGTTGCCAAAATTAAGACAATGGGCAGCGGTGATGATGATTCTCTTGCTGTAAATGGAGCCACTGCAAATATGGTTTCCATCTAGGCGCAAGGATACCTGCCAGGGAGCCTCTTTTATTTCAATGCGTCTTCCGCCAATAATGTGATTTTCAGATGCCGGCAGGACTCCTGCGAAAAGGAAGTTGGCTGCCAAGAGGAGGAGGCAAATGATGAGCATCTTTTTTAGGAAAAGTGACTAAGAATTTGGTGAATCTACAGCATCCTCGTAAATGTAAATACTAAATATATAAAATAAATTTGATTTTCTTTTCAAATAAAGATTTCTCGGTTTGCTGTGCCATATTTCCTTATTTATTTATTAAGTTTTTTAGTTGTATTAATTTGCAATATTCTTAAGATATCTAAAATATAAATAAAGGAGTAATTGTTAACTATAAAAATCGCCTGCAATATCATGACTTAGGTATAAGTGTTGAGGCTCCATTCTAGAGCCTCCAATTAGAGCTCATCTTCTTTTTGATCATGGGTCTGCTTATGTTCCTTAAGATCTCTTTTTAGACGAAAAGATTTTTCGCAATCTGAGCACTTGTAGGGCCAATCTCCGTTGTGTATCTTTCGGATATGGTCCTGAAGTGGGTTATTTGTTGCAAAAGTCCTCTGGCAATGGGAACATTTGTAAGGTCGTTTTTTTAGTGTTTTGTGGGTGTCAAGGTGTGACTTCGACTGCAGATATTTGGCTGTTTTAAAGGTCTTCAGACAGACGGAACAATGGTAAGGACGTTCTGCTTTGTGGGTCGCAATATGTTTCTGAAGATTGCCCTTTTTTGCACAAGATTTCTCGCAGTGAGGACACTTGAAGGGCCGTTCTCCTGTGTGGGTTCGAATGTGTGCCTGAAGATTGCATTTTTGGGAAAATGACCTTTTGCAATAGGAACAAATGTGTGAAGTTTTCGCCGATTTCTCCTGATCTTCTGCATTTTCCTTGAATTCCTCATCGACTTCAAACTCGGTAAATTGGAGGCGAACGTCCTCGAATATATCTTCTTCAACTGGCTCGTGCTTTATTCGTAACCTTCCGATTTTAGAGTAAGATATATCGAGCATTTCTTCCTCCTGTAGGTCATCTTTCTTGATTATCTGGCAGAAAACGCTGTGGCTCGTCTCGTAAAGTTGTTTTATCTCAAAAGCATTAGTTGCATCCCGCTTGCAAGGAGCGCATATGGTTTTGGAAAAAGGATCCCCTTTAGAAATTCGATGTCCGGTACACAGGGAAATCATATCCGCTATGGAAATCCGTATTTCTGGTCTGGCGGTGCCATCGAATATATTGACCATGTCCTTTGAGGTTTCCCCACAAACTCGACAAATGTCGCTGAAAATTAAATATAAAATGATTTGTTCGTGAGGATATCAAGTATTTCCGCTTACACGTCCATTTTGTCGGTATTGTGTTTCTTTCCATCCGCCAAAATTATTTGTTTTATTTTGTTTACTGCACAATAGTGTGCCCGCTTCTGGAAAGTAAAAAAACACCAAACAAAATCGAACAATCGAAATCGAAACCCGTTTCAAAGCGTAAGAGTGAGCGAGAAGCAAATAGTTTAAAACGTTTGTAGAAGAAGGTTTGGCAGTTCTGAGAGACCAATATTATATCAAATTTAATCATTTACAGTGAAAATGCTTGTGCCTGATACAATTATATATAATTCTCTCCTGGTTTTGTGTGTTTAAATTGAACTGGTTCTCCACTAAGGTTGACCGTATAGTTGTCTCCCAAAAACGACAAATAACCCGTTTCAAAAGCGGTCAGGTCACACTTTAACACCCAAAAACATCGACGTTGACCCACCTCTAGCGTTCCCCTCTTTCCGGTTTAAGATTTTAACCAGCGTGCTTGTTCTCGTCCCGAGCTAAGGCCATTTGTTAAAAACAAATTAATTTTTGGCAACTTGCACAATCAGTAATTAGCCACAGCACTTCGACATGTCCACCAAAGCCGAGCTCGCCTGCGTCTACGCCTCCCTCATCCTGGTTGATGATGATGTCGCCGTCACTGTGAGTACCTTAGTTGGGTCTTTGGAAATCCTTTCCAACTCTGGCCATCGCCTTGAGTTGCTGAATGAATTCCAGCTGCCACAACTCCCCATAAGTCGTAGAAAATCTTGCTAATAATATTTTTTTAATCCCGCTTTTGGCAGGGCGAGAAAATCAACACCATCCTGAAGGCCGCCAACGTTGAGGTGGAGCCCTACTGGCCCGGCCTCTTCGCCAAGGCCCTGGAGGGCATCAACGTCAAGGACCTGATCACCAACATCGGCTCCGGAGTTGGTGCCGCCCCCGCCGGCGGAGCTGCTCCCGCTGCTGCTTCTGCTGCTCCCGCTGCTGAGGCCAAGAAGGAGGAGAAGAAGGAGGAGGAGTCTGACCAGTCCGACGACGATATGGGCTTCGGTCTGTTCGATTAAGCGGGGATATCGAGAGAGACTGGGCCCAGGCCCTTATCCACATTACGACCTTGACATCCGTTGTGTTTGTGATCTAATCCTCTCGGTGGACGTGTTTTCGCGTTATTTTCCGAACTGCGTACACGTTTTAATGTACAAAAAATCGAGAAAATATAGAAAACGTTTGCTATGAAACTGTAATAGTGGAATTATTTAATGTTTGGTGCAATTTGGGTTTTATTTACAGTGATTTTTGTGGTGTTTTGGTGGAGATTTTTAAAAGGAAGACTTTTATTCTTGGCAAAAAGTCACCCTGAAGGATACTATATTTCCCTATGTTCCAGCTTAGGACTTTCTGAATTTTAAAAACTTTTGCCAATACTACATGCAATATTTAATTTAATCCAAGTTTACCTGACATTCATAAACCCCATGAAAACACTGCACATTTACAAAAACTGTTAGACAGTTACTTGTGTTTATTTGTTGACAAAAAGATCTCCTCATTGATGACCTTGGCCAGGGCCCGTAGGTTGGGCCCATCGATCTGCTTCAGGCCCAAAGCCATCTCGATTTGCGTTGGGCATTCGTTGAGTTCTGTTTTGTTGATCAGAAATTGTATGGCGCTGCGGATTTCGTCCGTGTCCAGGCCCAGGCGCACCGTCATCGTAATGGGCACCGATCTGTGAAACTCCGGGTTGTCATAGGGGTTCTGGAGGGAAGGCAGGATCCGTTTCTGTCGCTCCACATCGAACTGCACGTTGTAAATGCCGGGCATCTTGCCGAATTGTGTGGCCAGCAGAAACCACTTGTTGCCGAAGCGCTGGAACACAATTTCGGTGGGCACGCCATTTACATCCGTGGCAAACTGCTTGTCGAAGCCGATTTCACGGGGTTTTTCGGCAGATGTGGTCATTTTTATGTAGTTAAATTAATAAATGTTAGAAATTTTTGATTTGTTTTGATGAGACAGCAGTTAGTGTGACCAGAGTGAAAGTTTGCTTAAAACTTACAAAATAATCGATTTCATTATCGAGTGTCTACTGATCAAGTCCTGTTTCTACTAAATCCTCCAGAGGGCGCTAGTTATATTTAGGAATTAATAAAATTAAAATTAAATGTATACATTTTTGTGTTAACATTTTGTTAAATTTTTAATTTAATTTAATATGGCATTGCTTAAGTAGTAGCATTTTAATATCAAAATCTCTTGTTTTGCCTCAAGGGTGCGATAGGCAGCGACGTTCCCCTCCGTATTTAAATTAAAACCGTTAAAAAATAAGGGTTCTTAGCAAAAGTGCATTAAAAATAAATAAAATAATTATAAATTACAATTTAATGAATATAATTTAAATCAAACCTCAACAAATTTCTAGGTTGCCAAGGTGACTTGTATTTGTTTAATCAATAAGTAAAGTAAAATAATTTAAAAACAAACAATGACCTCCTGCATTTGTTTGGGCCCCAAAAGAGCGGGAAAAACTCATTTGCTGAAGGCTCTGCAGGATCCAGATTCCATCGACGAGACAAGCTATTCCATGCCCACCATTGGCACTGGCATCTACCGCATCCATTTCCCCACCAAATCCCCAAATGGTGACAAACCCAGGCCTCCTCCACCACCCACCGATGCAGCTGCCCAGATTAACATACCACATGGCGGAAAGAATCTCCCAAAGTCCATACAGATCCTGGAGATTGGCGGCAGTATGGCTCCGTTGTGGCGACAGTATTTCGAGGACGTTAAGAAGCTCATTTACGTGGTGGACACTTCCAATCTCTGCCAGATTTCCGCTGCTGGTGTTCTGTTCTACTCGATTTTAACGGAACCCCGGCTGCAGAAGGTCAAGATCCTGTTGGTCCTGGCCAAAATGGACTATTCCTACCGTCAGATGCGAAACGAGGCGCTGCTTATGCTCCAAATGTCCAAGCTGCAGAAGCAAATCCGCCAGCAGGTGACCATTGTGGAGGCCAGTGCTGTGACCAAGGTGGGTCTGGAACCCATCTATGACTGGCTGCAGAGGCCTTAGAATAAAGAAAATAATTATAAAACAAGGAAAATTGAATATAAAATGAAATAAGAATAAGAATAAATTATGATTTAATCACTGTTTGATGATTTTAAAATTGTTAACAAGTTTATATATTTATTTCTAGGAATTTTGTATAGCTGTATTTCCCTTTAAACCTTAAGTTCCTTTGATTATCTCACAAAACAATGGAATTTTTTAATTTAAAAGGCCCTTCCGCAGTATTTTTAGACAAATAAGATTCCCCCAATGATATAGCAATTATCGTTTAACGACTAAGACCTCAAAATTAGACTTAGAAACCCAGGTAGATTAACAGGGTGGTCTCCTCCAGATTGACTCAACAGGGTGACTTCCCGGCCTAAGACAGAGACAGGCGCAGTGCTTAGGCAATTAATGTTTTGGCCGTCGAAGGTATCCATGGCAATCACCTTTGAACAGCCGGAAAAGACCCTTTCCCCCACGAGTACCTGCCACAGGCCAGTCGATATACCAAAAGCCAGCAAAACCGCAGCAAAGGAATCGGAATCCACAAATTAGGTGCCGCGCAGAGAAGAGGTAAGCTGGCGGAGGTACAAATTATGGGCATAGAAAAATTAGATGGCATGCAGACGAGAGACAAGAACCAAGAACCAAGAACCACCGAATCCCCGAAGGAGTGGTGAAGAAGGTGGAGGGAGGAGAGCCGCAGGAAGCAGCAGCCACATTCCTGGTGCCGCTGGATTTCGGTCTCTTGGCCTCGGGGATGTGGGGCGTGGATGAGGGGCAGAGAAGGAGAATGACACGCATCCGGTTTTAAAATTCCAGCGATCGAAGAAGCGCTGCAGAAGAGGCCGAAAAAGGAACCAAAACCCAAGGAATTCAAACACTTGGACACGCGGACACAGAATACACAGAATACACTAGGAGAAAATAGTGAATTTTTAATTAAAAAGGAGATAAAGTTATAGAAGGCGATACCTACTAGAGATCATCCAAAGATTTAGGTCCACAAATATACTCTGAAAAACTTTATTTAATATTTTTTTGGCACTTTCTGTTTTGATTTATCCAAAATATATTAAACAAAATAACGATTTGTGGTACATAAAAAATATTTAAAAATATAAATATAAATTTTTTTCTGTGTATAATTCTTGCGAAGGACGATGACGACGGCGACACTGGAGCTGGACTACTTCAGGGCAGTGTCCCTCTACCGCCGTCGCTCCTACGAGCGCTGCGCGGAGCTGTGCAACGCACTCCTTCAGGCCGGTCACGATGGTCATGTCCAACTGTTTGCCACCAAGGAGGGCCACAGCGAGGAGGAGGAGGCCCAACAGCAGCAGCAGCAGGCGGAGCACGACGCCGGGCGCAACAGCAGATTCGGTAGCAATTTGCAACGCATTGGCCCCAGGCCCAGAGGAGTGGCAGGAGCCGGGCAAGATTCGGGAGCATCCATCATGATGCCCACTTGGCTGATGGAGGGCGTGTGGCAATTAAAGATGCGCGCCCTAACGCAGCGCGTCTACCTGGACGATCTGGAGGTGGACGATGCCGGGGATGAAGGTGGGTAGCAGAAGCTTTAATTGTTTAATGGATTTTTAATTTTGTGAAAATTAAAAAAATATAATATAAATAATATTAATTAACCTTTCCAGCCACCGAGGAAGTGGAGTTCGAGCGAATAGCCACGGCAGCTCGTCCTGGAAGCAGCATCAAGACTGCCTTCCAGCCGCGTCCTCTCACCAGCCAAAGGCAACAACTGGCTAAGAGCAGGGGCTCTGGAATAGCCCACTCCAGTGATGGTCGCCTGAACAGCTCCAGGCCAGGATCGGCGGCAGTGGCTCGTCCTGGGACCAGTCTTAGTCGCCCTGGATCTTCGATGGGAGGCGGCGCACGACCAGCTTCAAGATGTGGCACCGCCTCCCGAGTCCGGGCCACGTCTGCCGCTGCTTTTAATGTGGGCGATGCCACCTCCAAGTTGTACCAGGCATCCCGACTCAATCCCACGATTTATGCGGAGAGGGAGACCCTGGTGAAGGCCCTGTTTCAGTTCCTTTACTATCACGAAGCCGACGTCCAGAAGGCTCACTCGCTCTGCCAGGCGGTGATGGAAGTTCAGCGCCAGAAGACCAGTGGAGCCAGCAGTGGAGCCTCAACCTTCTCCTGGTGGTGGCAACAGCAAATGGGCAGGTGTTTATTAGCTCTGCATTATCCTAGGAAAGCGGAACCCTTTCTGCAGCAATCCCTGGCCAACTTTCCGCATCCGGACACGTATCTGCTGCTGTCCCGACTCTACCAGAGATTGAAGCAACCGGAGAGGGCTCTCCTGCTTATCAGCGAGGCGGTGGACACACGACCCTTTGATGTCACCTATCGGTTGGAGCAGGCCAGGATTCACCAGGCCATGGAGCAGCAGGAGGATGCCTTGCAGCTGTACAGGCTGGTGGCCAAGCTGCAGCCCATCAATGTGGAGTCGCTGGCCAGCATTGCCGTGGGCTATTTCTACGATAATAATCCGGAGATGGCTTTGATGTATTACCGCAGGATTCTCTCCCTCGGAGCCCACTCCTCGGAGCTCTACTGCAACATAGCCTTGTGTTGTTTGTACGGTGGCCAAATCGACTTGGTTCTGCCTTGTTTCCAAAGAGCCTTGGCCATGGCCACGCAACCCGAGCAAAAGGCGGATATTTGGTACAATATCAGCTTTGTGGGGGTGGTAGGTATTGGTTTTAATTTGGAAAATGTAATTTTAAACAAGGGTTTTAGGTTTATTATTTAATTTTTAAATGGGGTTTATATTGAATATTTATTTTTATATATATTTTTAAGCTTAAGAAACTTGAAATTTGGATTTGGTTATATCAGAAGAGCCATAGAAATCCTATATTTATCTGAGAAATTTATATCATAGCTCTTTTTTTCTCAGACCTCTGGTGACTTCAACCTGGCCCGAAGGTGCCTCCAACTGTGCCTCACATCGGATGCTCAAAATGGGGCAGCTCTCAATAACCTGGCTGTCTTGGCTGCCCAAGGTGGAGATGTTTTGGGGGCCAAGTCCTATCTTAATGCAGCCAAGGATGTGATGCCCGAAGCCGAGGAGGTGACCACCAATTTGCAGTTTATGGATGTGCATTATAAGCTATGAAAATGAAGGTTGAGAAATTGTATTCAAGAAACAAGTAACAGAAAAGATTAAATAAAGAAATGGGACTATAGACGTTTAGAAAACCCATTTAAATTTTAAACAAGAAAGAAAGCTAACTTTGGCCGGCCGAAGTTTGTATACCCTTGCAGGTAACAAATAAAATATATCATAACTAAGCCAAAAATGCATTAATTTCGATTCGGAAAGCAGTTTTGTGTTAGTTTTTATTAATTTAAAAACACTGCATACCAAATTTAAAATTTTAAGAAATCAAAATTTTAGGTCATTTTTAAGAATTTTAATGATCAAATTTCGCAAAAATGGCAAAAAAATCGATTTCTTCCGGACATGTCTAGAAAGATTCGCATGTTAATGCTGATCAAGAATATATATGGTTTATGGGGTCAGAAATGATTCCTTGACTTAGAAAAATATTATTTTGTATTATAAAATCTGATTTTTTATATTAAAAAACTTCTTGATTTTTTTTTAAATAAAAAATATCATAACTCGGCTAAAAGATCATTAATTTTAAATCGGAAAACTGTTCTGTGCAAGATTTTCTACAGTTAATAAATCTGCATACTTCATTTAAAAATTTGGAAAATTCAATTTTTTATCAAAATCAAAAATTTTAATGATGTAACCCCTTTTAAAATTTTGCAAAAATGGCCAAAAAATCGATTTCTTCCTGACATATCTAGAAAGATTCCCCTGTTGATGCTGATCAAGAATATATATGGTTTATAGGGTCGGAAACGTCTCCTTCACTGCGTTGCAAACTTCTGACTGAAATTATAATACCCTGCAAGGGTATAAAAATATATCATTTTAT